AGGGTTGCGATCCGTTGCCAGTCACGAAAAAAGACAAAAAGGAAAAAAAAAAAAAAGAAATCCTCAAGGAAGTCCTGCATCTGGAATCTGAAAAATCACTACTACAAATACAAGAAAGAACAAAAAACACTGGTAGAACAAAATGCAAATGAGAAAGAGAAAGAAATGAAATCTTAACCAGCACAAAAAACCATAATGACAGTGTAATAATGCCCTTGCTTCCTTTTTTTTTTTTGTCCTTTTTGAGACTGGCAGCACCGCGCTCAGCCAGTGAGCACACTGGCCATCCCTATATAGGATCCGAACCCGCGGCGGGAGCGCTGCTGCGCTCCCAGCGCCACACTCTCCCGAGTGCGCCCCGGGCTCGGCCCCTTGCTTTCTGATTTTAGTAAATTTAGTCTTCTCTCCTTTTCTTTTGGTCTGTCTAGATAAAGATTTGCAAAGTTTGTTGATCTNTCCGAACCCTCGGCGGGAGCACCACTGCACTCCCAAGCGGCACACTGTAGCAGTGCGCCACTGGCCGGCCCCATTTTTCTTATTTTTAATATAGGTGTTTACAAGCATAAATTTTCCTCTGAGCACTGCCTGAGCCCTGTATCCTATAAATGTTGATATGTTGTGCTTTGATTTTTATCTCAAAGTACTCTCTAATTTCCCTCTGATTTTTCTTTTTTCCCATTGTTTATTTAGGAGAGTGTTTAATTTCCACACATTTGTGAATTTTGTAAATTTCCTTCTGTTGCTGTGGTCAGAGAACATACTTTCTATGATTTTAGTCTTTTTAAATGTATTAAGACTTGTTTTGTGGCCAAAAATTAAAAAAATAAAATAAAAGCAAATAACTGAACTTGGAGGAATTGTCCAAATTTTTTCATTGCATTAGAATTTTTCTGAACTGAATATAATTTGAAATGGTATACAAAATTTTATAGTTTGAGTATTTTCTCTAANTCTGAACTGAATATAATTTGAAATGGTATACAAAATTTTATAGTTTGAGTATTTTCTCTAATGGTAGTTAGCCTATAAAATTAAATTCTTAAGGTATGGCTGACTAATTTTTTTTTTTTTTTAAAAGATGACCGGTAAGGGGATCTTAACCCTTGACTTGGTGTTGTCAGCACCACGCTCAGCCAGTGAGCGAACCGGCCATCCCTATGTGGGATCCGAACCCGTGGCCTTGGTGTTATCAGCACCGCACTCTCCCGAGTGAGCCACGGGCCGGCCCTGACTAATATTTGAACTTGAACTGTGAAAAATATGGAGTTCTGGATAACTAGGGAGAGCTTTGGTGGAAGGAACCCTAGAATAGACCAGACTAGGCTAGACTGATGGATTCTAGTTTCCTTCTGACACATACCACCTTTGTCATTGGATGAGCTCTTTAACTTTTTTTAGGGCCTCATCTATAAAATAGTGATGATGGTGGTAACATGGTGGTATGTTAGTGGGGTGAGGGAAGGCAGATCATTTTCACTAGCTGGCAAAGTTGAGTTGCCTGTTCACTTTGCATAATCTAATTTAATGGTTAAGAACATGAGCTTAAAGAACAGACCAGGGTTCAAGTCCTCTTATCCAGATACAAGTGGGTTACTTACTCTAAGCCTCATTTTCCTCTTCTGTAATACAGATGTGGTGATTCTTACCTTTCAGGGTTGTGATGATTAAACATAATAGTAAATATAAAGTATAGCAAAGTGCCTGGCATATAATAGATGCCCAATGTGTAGTAATTCCTGTTATTAGTAATGGTGTACCACCACTGCTCTCCCTCAGAAATCTCAAGATACTGGGCACACTGAACTACTCCATTGTAAATCTTAAAAATGAAAACAAAATAAGCAGTTGATTCAGTAGTAGAATAATACTTAAAACTGGGAAGCTCTTTGAGTTCCTCTAGTCCATTAGCCAGTGCATGCTATACAATGACAGGATTGAATCAATGTTCCTTCTAGCTTTATAATTTCATGGTCTTATGTAGCATAATGTGAAGAAGAAAAGGAAGTGTATTGCAAAGAAATGGTAGCAAAAGTGCTGCTGAAGTCTGTAAATGTGTCAGTATGAATAAAAAACAGTGGCTGTTTTGATAAAGCTATCAAAAGAAATAACCAGCTCCATTCAAGCTTTGTTTTATGGGAAATTGCTCCCATCTTAACTTAGTTTCAGACTCACTGAAATGGTTATGGTAAGCCCTTAATATATGCAAGATAGTATAATTTGATGTTCCATCAACTGAAGAGACAGTCATTAGATCAGAAAATCAAGATAGTATCATCTCATATAATCATGTGTGTTTTACCTCCAAAAACCCCTGAAGAGTGGCATTGGAAAAGTGGTACATAAAAATTATAGGAAAAAGGTAGAAATGAGGCATTTTGTCACATATAAAAGTAATGATGAACCCTCTGTGTGTATATATATATATATATTTAACATTTCAAATCGTTTTTTCTCTTTATTTCCCCAGTCTGTTCATTACCAACAGAGGTAAGTTCTTTTAAATTTTTTTCTCTTAACTTCTGCATTGAGGTCACTCTTGATTTTAGAGCTAGCTTGAAAACTTTTTTTACTTTTCATTTTCTATCATTTGATAGTAGAGTTTCAAACCTTTATAGAGAACTTTGGTTTAGAATAATTTTACGGTCTTACAAATTTTTATAAATTCTTTCCTTTAGACTTTGAGTCATACATTTACATCTTTTGCACTTGGATATACATTTTGGATTTTTGCACGGAACTCATGAATTGTCAGCTAACGAAACAAGAGTAACCTTAAAGCTAAAATTTACATGTCTGAGCAGAGGAGAGAAAGAGCAATATAAATTAGGTATAAGATTTTCTGAGTCAGGCTGTATGGGCAGGTCATGAAAATAATGAGGCACCTATGTGCCTAAAGCAAGAAATAGACATTTTTGTTTGTTGTTCCTTTTTCTAATGTCCCTTCTATTTGATGGGGAAGAAGTAAATTGCTACAGTGAGTGGTGCCTAATCCTTTTTAATTTCTCATGGGGCATTTCCTGGTTGAGTACAGGTTTACTATGGATAAGAAGTCAGGTGGGAGTAGTTTTGTCATTCTTTATACAGCACGTATAGGGAGTGTTTTTTAATTAAAATGTTTTGGTTGATTGAAAATGTTCTGTTGTGACTCTTTTTTTTTTCCCCCTCTCAGTACTGTGAATATATGCCTGATGTTGCTAAATGTAGACAATGGTTAGAGAAGAATTTTCCAAATGAGTTTGCAAAACTTACTGTAGGTATGAACTTTTTTTCTTTCAACAAACTTGCATACCTGAAACAAATGCATGTATAACATTATTTTACAGATATGAAAGTCCTCCTTTAGTAGGATATTAGAGAATTACATTTATCTTTATCAGTTACCTTTAAAACTGTTAAAGTTCTTCCTGAGATAAGATAGGTCTAAGTAGCAACTTGCTTATACAAAAAAGTAAATGATTTAGGGGCAAATATATTCACATTTATTGTGAGCATACTATATGCTATACAGTGTTTTAAGTTCTGAGGATAAAGCAGTAAACAAAAGATCACATTCTAGAAGGGACACAAATGAAATAAGTAAAACATGTAGTAAGTGTGTAGATAGTGATAAGCAGGAAAGGGGGAGATACGACTTGTTGGGAAGCAAGTTGAAATTTTAGGTAGTGACCAGGGAAGATTTTACTGTCAAGATGGCATTTGATTAAAGAACTTTAGAAGTGAGGGAGTGAGTCCTTTAGCTATCTGGGGGAAGAACATTCCAGGCAGAGGACACAGCCAAGTGCAAAGGCCCTGAGGCAGAAACTTAGAGTATATTCAGGAAATAGCGTGGAGGCCTTTGTGTTTAGAGCTATTTGAAGGAGGGGAGAGGAGTTGGATATGAAGCCAGAGAAGTAATGGAGGACCACATCTTGTAGGGCCTTGTAAGCCAAGTTTTGAAAAGCCAAGACTCTGAGTGAAATGAGGAACTCTTGGATGGGTTTGAGCAGAAGAGTGATAAGGTCTGACTTTTATTTCAGCAGCATTACTTTGGCTTCTCTGTTAAGAGTAAACTGAAGAGGGGCATAGGCAGAAAAACAGGAGACCAGATAGGAGGCTCTTGCAGTAATCCAGTCAGGTGATGACTTGGACCAGAATGGTAGCACTGGACGCGGTGAAAAGAGCTCAGATGGTAATTATATTTTGAAGGTAGAGTGACAGGATTTTCTGATGTGTTGGATATGGGGTGTGAGGAAAAGGGATGACTAGAGTTTGGTCTAAGCAACTAGAAGAATAGAATTGCAGTTGCCAGAGGTGGGGAAGAGTGAGAAGAAACAAAGTCAATCTGCTTAAATTGATGGCTTCTTTTATGATTGGTAAAAATGAAGGTGGTAGCAGGAAAAAGGGAAAGCTGGGCTGGGAACACTCCTACTCAGATAAACCCAGTTTTGCCCCACTCTTTGCTGCTTTGATTTTTTTTTTTAACCATCCCTATATGGGATCCGAACCCGGGGCCTTGGTGTTATCAGCACCGCACTCTACCGAGTGAGCCACGGGCCGGCCGACAAGTTTTTCTTTTTTTTTTTTTTCGTTTTGTCTTTTTTCGTGTCCGGCAACGGATCACAACCCTCAGTGTCACGCCCGTACCGGACCGGGACCGGCAATGGGATCGCAACCCTCAGTGTCGCGCCCGCACCTCGCTCAGCCAGTGAGTGGGAACTGGTCTGTATGTGGGATCCGAACCCTCGGAGGGAGCGCCACCGCGCTCCCAAGCGGCGCACTGTAGCAGTGCGCCACCGGGCCGGCCCTCTGCTGCTTTGATTTTTTGATTTTTATTTTTTGTTTTGTTTTTGGTGGCTGGCCAGTACAGGGATCCAAACCTTTGATCTTGGTGTTATAATACCATGCTCTAACCAACTAAGCTAACCGGCCAGCCTGCTGCTTTGATTTTCAGATTATTTCCATGAGGCATAAACCCCTAAACTTGATCAGGCCCTTTTGGATAGTAGCTACTCAGTCACTGTCAGTGGTTGGATAAGACCTCTCAAATTTGGTGTTGTAGACAGTCTACATGATTGGCCCTGAATGTGACCTGCCTAGGACATGATTGTGACTTGGAGAAAGGGGGGTGGTGGGGAGGGAGAAGCTTCTCTTATCCAAGACCAGATGTTAATAAGATTAATATATTTAGATGCTAGGACACTCCTACAAAGCCTGAATGTTCTATGCATCTTTCAAGTGGCTAAAAAAATCCTAATCCTCACATATTAAAGACTTTATTTTCTCTTTTATTACCATACATTTTCCATAATGACATTAGAATTAGATTTTTTTAATGGGAAACTAGCAATATAATCATTTACTTTATAAATGTCATGCTCAATTGTTTGTAAAATGCCTTTTTGTGTATAAGATTGCTCAAAGGTGATTTTTTTTAAGCATTAGTATGAAATAATCTCAGTGCTTTTGGATTTCATTTTTATATCTAGAAAATTCACCCAAACAAGAAGCTGGAATTAGTGACGGTCAAGGAACAGCAGGGGAAGAAGAGGAAAAGAAAAAACAAAAGAGAGGTAATCCGTGTCTTGATTTGTACAAACATACCTTCCCTGTGATGGAAGGTACGAATAATAAAAGGGTTCCCAAAGTGAATGCATCTACCTGTTACTGTAATTCCACACGTATATCACACAGAGAGGTACAAAATCATATTCTCAGGATTATCATTGTATATGGTATGATTTGGGCTTTATCAGCAAGTTTAGACCTAAGAAAACATGCTTAGTTTTCCTGTATATAGGTAAAAAGCAACCAGTAAGTTAAAATACCTGTGTATTCTGTTTAATGGGGGTGAGCACATTTATTCAAGGTTTTATCCTCTCATTACTTCTGATAGCTCAGTTGAAAGCTCTGTCTTACTGAGCTCTGTTGTGTATACTTGTCTCTCTGATCCTTCTCAAACTAATTTTTTGTACTCTGGATCCTGTCCTGCCTGTTTCTTCTTCATTAATTTTTCTTCCCATGACTAAAATTAGCTCATAATTATTTTCAGGACTTTGAATCTTTAAAAAGAACTGTCCCAAGAATCCTTACTTCTCTCTACCTTATCCCTCCCCTTCCCTTCTTAGCCAGGTTTCTTCACTAAGACTAGACTCACTATCTTCCTCTCTGTTCTGTTGTTTACTGTTTGCTTCTCAGTTGTCTTGACCCGACTTTCATGCCACTGAAACTCTTCTTATAAAAGTCCCCAGTGGCTTGGTAATCACTAAGTAATAAGAGCATTTGAGCACTCTCCTCTTCTTGAAGTGTTGTACTTCCTTGATTTCTATGGCATTCTTCCTTCCTAGTTCTCCTATCACTCCTTACTCTTCTATGCAGACTTCTTTTTGGTTTTGGTGGCTGGCTGGTATGGGGATCTGAACTCTTGACCTTGGTGTTACAACACCATGCTCTAATCAATTGAGCTGACTGGCCAGCTCTTCTTCCTTCTGTCCCTTAAAAGTTGGTGTTTCCCAGGATTCTGCACTCTTATCTTCTGGTTCTGCATGTTCTCCCTGGATGACTCTTGTCACATCCCTAACTTCTGCCACCACTGTACACTTAAAATTCCCAAATCTCTAGATCTGGCCCATGTCTCTAGACTGGAAGTGTGCATGGTCCCACAGGTATCTTGAATGCAGCACTTCCAGGTTAGTTTAAACTAAGTCCCAAATTGACTTCTTTCATTTTCCCCATTTTAGTTAGTGACAGCATGATTTATCCAGTCATCTGAGCCAGAAACCGGAATACTATCTTAGGTTCTCTCTCTTTGTCCCCTTTAAAGGGAGGAGGGTGGAATGTGCTAAATTCTGTTGTTTCTCCTCCTTCATCTCTGTCTTGTGCCCAGTGGCCATTACTGTTGCCACTGCTTAGATTTTGATTAATTTGTTTGAACTAGTGCAGGAGCCTCCTCAATAACTTTTCCGTCAGCCTCACTGTTTGCAGATGCACCCTCCACCCTGTGGCTAGAGTGATCCCGATAAAACATAACTGTGGTTATTTCATTCCTGCATAGTCCTTCAAAGGCTTCTCCTCTTCCACAATAGAAAGTCAAGCCCTAGAGTTCAATATACTAGTCCATTAATGACTGGTATGTAATCTTTTGCTCTTCTGGCTTCATCGGCTACATGTTTATAAGCATCCTTCAGTCAAGACAAGTGTGGTTCCCAAATAAGATGCCTCTTCTCCTCTCTGCACTTGTTCCCTCCCTGTAATGTCCTTTCTTATACCTCTCCAGCCCTTTTTCCTTCACGTGGATACTCCTTATTCTTCAAGACCCAGTTTAGATGTCTCTTCCTCTAGTAACCTTTTCTGTCCTCTGGAAGCAGAGTAAGTCAGTCCTCTGCAGAATTATGGTAGTACCTCATTCACGGATCCTGCCATAGCGTATATCAGGTTGCTGTAGTTATGAAGCCTGGAGGGTACGGACTATGTTCTGTTCCTCTTTGGGTCCTCAGCCCTTAGTGCAATGCTGGGCACATAGTAAGTACTTAATAAATGTTTATTGAATGAATACATACATGTGTTTATTAATTTTGTATAAGAGAAAAGAAATTTAAACCTTTTGAAAATTAACAAATTTAAATACTTAATATTCTGTAATGATGACACAATTAATGCTAATCTCTTTCTTAATAAATAAAGGTGGAAGGGGTCAAATAAAACAAAAAAAGAAGACTGTACCACAAAAGGTTACTATAGCCAAAATTCCCAGAGCAAAGAAGAAATACGTAACAAGAGTTTGTGGTCTTGCAACTTTTGGTGAGTTCGGGCTTAAGTGTGTTTAAAATATGTGAACTATATGAGTTTGTGGTCTTGCAACTTTTGGTGAGTTCGGGCTTAAGTGTGTTTAAAATATGTGAACTGTATTCTCTCTCTCTCTCTCTCTCTCTCTCTCTCTCTTTTTATCTGGCATCATGAAAAACTTTACAGGTCTGTTTTTTGCTAAGAAGATACAAAATGAGGTTTTGCATTTCTAACTATAGCTTTGAAATTAAATTTTAGAGAAATTTAAAAGTCTTTCGTAGAGGGAACTGGTATAACTTTTTCCTTTCTGGACTTCCTACCTGGGCACATTTTATGTAGAATGTGGAGAGCTGGAATAAGATTCCTTTCGAAGCCTACCAGTGCTTCTCTGTCCTCTGCAGGCTTGGTGGGAAAGGGTAGCAAAATGGCTTGTCCCCTCAGGGAATGACAGTAGAGGGTGAGGGAAGGTGGGTAGCAGCAGAAGGTCCTGCTTCAGATCCCTTCAGTGCCTGGAGGCCTTGAATGAATAGTGAAACTGGGTTGGAAATGTAAACCGAGGTCTCTGTGTGTGACAACACAGATTTTTATCAATGGACCACATTATAAATATTAAGGTTTTCTTTCTCTGCTGTAAATTTTTCTTTTGTAAAAGGAACTTAAACAAAAGAACTTCATTTCTACTTGACAGTACATATGTAATGCTCAGAATTAACATGTTCTTGGATTTATTTTGGTCTTACTATATGAATTAGAGATAGTATGGATAATGCTGTTTTTATTATGAGCCTTATTTTGACCTTGAAATCATGAGTTGAATTGTTAAGACCTCTGCCTATGGTAGTTTGTAATTATTGTTCTGAAAGGAATATGAAGCCCATTAACACAATCTGTTTTATGAATTTAAAATGCAGATTAAATTTCAAAATGGAAAAATATCTAAAGATGCAAAATTCCAATGATAATCTTGCTTTTTCTTTAAAAAAAAAAACAAAAACAGAAATTGATCTTAAAGAAGCACAAAGATTTTTTGCCCAGAAATTCTCTTGTGGTGCCTCGGTAACAGGGGAGGATGAAATCATCATTCAGGGAGACTTTACAGATGACATCATTGATGTCATTCAGGAAAAATGGCCAGAGGTGAGTACTTGGAATGTATGCATCCATAGAAATAAATTTTTCGAGCAAATTGCTTCCATTTTTTTTCTTTTTTGATATCACAACTCATGAAATATAATTATGTTTTATAGGTGGATGATGACAGCATTGAAGATCTTGGAGAAGTGAAGAAGTGATTTTAAAAATTTGTCTGTATTCAGCGATCTGAACAGAGAGTTGATATGGCCAAAGGGAGAGAGGCCTTTGAAAATATATATATATTTATCCTACAGTAAAACTGTAGACTGCCCTTGTCCTTGGTATTTTCACTGTTCTGTATAAGGCTGCTTGTTTTTTTATTGCCAAAGTCTAATAAACAGGGAGGACTGTCATGCTCATATGCATGAGATAGAACTTAGTGAAATAAAAAATTTTGATCATTTGGTACTGACTTTTCTCTTTCTCTCTTTTTAACTTTTTATTTTTGGAAAGACACTGTAAACTTTTTGTGGGAAACAGTTCTGTTGATAATTTTACTGATCTAAAGCTGAGTGATTTTTTAAAACAGAATTTGAATTTGGCTTCCTCACCCATAATATGACTCCTTGCTTCTTTTGTGTGATAATATTGAGATGGGTGAAAATCTAATAGATTTGTGGTTGAATTTACTTCATTATTACCAACAAAGACCACTTTGTGGGCACAATAACATACTGTTGGTGGGAGTCCTTCAAGCTATTCTGGAAATTATTTGGTAAAGTATATTAAAAGCCTTAAAACCACGTGCACTATTAGACCCAGTAAGCCACTTCTTTGACATTATACTAAACTAATAATCAGTTTTGCATAAAACTGTGGATGAGGGTGTTCATCCCAATGTTATTCATAATATCAAAAAATTGCAAGTAATATAAATGAACAGTTGAGAAATGATTAAAGAAGTGATGGTGCATCATGTGGTAGAATATTATGCATATATTTAAAAATCATATTTTCCAAGGAAACTTGGAAACATGTTTGGTAATGGTAAGTGGGGGCAAACTCCTAATCCATTTTAGATGTTCATTATTATCATTGTTCTGAGTGGAAGGTTGTTCAGAGACACTGGGAGTTGTTCTGGCTATAAATTATGTGAGTAAAATTCTACTAACCAATTAAAAATAATATGCACCTTACTGCACTGTACCAGCCAGCCACCAAAAAACCCAAAAAACAAAAAATATGCACCTTGCTCAATATATAGTCTGTGAGTTAGCAACTGAAACATATCTTTCTCACAAGAGAAAGAGTGACAATTTTAATGAATACATTAGATAAATTTAGACTTTGTTTTAAGTCAGGTGCTGCAAATTGAAAAGAAGCTTGTATTTTAAATTGCTATAGACACCTTTAAGAAACTTAGAACTCATGAAACCATTGTTTATTGCCTTGAAAATTACAATCAAATGAATGTTTTTAAAAGATAATTAAAAGTCTTAGAAAAATATGTAATAAAAATGTAGATTTAAAAAGATTCTGTATTAAGTGTGAATTTTACTAAATAAGATTACCTAGTGAAGCAAATTTATCCATCAAGACCATTTGGTTTGTGTTAATGTATGTATTTTGTTGGTGCTGGAAGATGTCCATGTATTAACACATGTGACTTCATGTAAACATTCTTAATGTTCACAGTTGTTGGCAAATGCAGTTTCAGTCCATATATAGCCGGCAATGGATGTTACTGCAGGAAAATGCAGAATTAAAATCGTCTTTGCATATAACATGTATGAGTCTTTTTCTTTAACCTGAAATTTAAAATGCAACATTGTTTAATCTGATTAAAATGTACTAATAGTGCCAGGATTGACTTTAATTCACACATTTTTTTTTTTTTTAAAAGATGACTGGTAAGGGGATCTCAACCCTTGGCTTGGTGTTGTCAGCACCACGCTCAGCCAGTGAGCAAACCGGCCATCCCTATATAGGATCCGAACCCGTGGCCTTGGTGTTATCAGCACCGCACTCTACCGAGTGAGCCACGGGCCGGCCTAATTCACACATTTTCACACTGTATTTTTCGCAAGAAGGAATATGAACCTTTAAGCAGCCTTATCTCATATTATGTGTAAGAGATTTACAAAAATTAAGCTGGCAACCTCAAGTGCAAATATGGTTTTAATATGTAGTATTTTATTCATTTTTTAAAAATAGATGCTGAGACTAAGTGATTTGAAATTCGTTTTTGCTTATTACCTAAAAGCCTCAGTCATCTGTTAATTTTCTTGCTTTAAAAGTTGATAAATTACAATTTTTTTTTTCCTTTTTGTCTTTTTTCGTGTCTGGCAACGGATCGCAACCCTCAGTGTCGCGCCCGTACCGGACTGGGACCGGCAACGGGATCGCAACCCTCGGTGCCGCACCCGCACCTTGCTCAACCAGTGAGCGGGAACCGGTCTGTATGTGGGATCTGAACCCTCGGCGGGAGCGCCGCCGCTCTCCCAAGTGGCGCACTGTAGCAGTGCGCCACCGGGCTGGCCCGATAAATTACAATTTTAAAGATGAATACTACTTTTTAAATCCTGTCTTTGTTATTTACTAAATTCCTTTACTTAGGAAATCAGGTAGGGAATGAGTCCATTCAGGACTTCAGTTTGGATTAAACTGTGAAATCAGATGCAGGGTAATTCTTGTAGCTTTCACTTTTATGCCATTTTTAGAAGGTATATCTTCTCTCTAAATATATATATATATATATAGTCTTAAAGAAAACCTGTGGGGTGTACTTAAAATACTGAGATTTTTGATTTGCACCTCATAATCCTTTTACCACATTCATTTATTATTTGCCAACCATAGTCATGTAAGATGAGTCTCATTTCTTACCTCTCTCTGTACACACACTTTACAGGGAGTATTAGGCATGTGGTTGCCTGGTAAACAATAGCACTTTAGAGCTTCCTACCAAATCTTAACACTAGTGAAATCTGACAAGCATGTGAATTAAAATGTTCCTCAATTTGAAAATTGACATTCAACCCACATTCCTCTACATCTTTCTCCACCACCAAGACTTATTGCATAGTCATCTTCTGATAGACTGTTTTTAACAGCTAGTCAGAATTTGCTTTCTTGATTTTAAATTCTAAGGCATTGTCTTGGTTCTCCTCAAAATGCACCTGTCCTAAGGGGGCAAATGTCACTCAAATCAGTAGAGCTTCAAAGCAAGAAATCTTAATTTGGTTTTTCCATTTTTAGATTGTCTTTTATGAACACAAGGGCCTGTTTTGCTAATCCATTCAACCGAAAGGTAAAGTTGAAATACTGTAAGACTTTGGTAAATTGTCTTGCCAATAATGCCTTCTAATGGGTTTAGCATTAGGGGGTGAGCGACCGGTGTTAAATGTGATAAGCATCTTTTCAAAGTCAGTTTTTACATGACGTCTAAGGAAGAGTAAAAGGGGAACGAAGAGGTGTCTGGAGCAACACACGAAAAAGCTAAATGGTAAATTTTGTCATGACAAAGTGCCACAGTTCTAATTGCTATTCAGGAGCAATAATATATATATTTTTCTCTTTTCACCAGTGATTCTTGGTTTAGAGCATTCTGCTAGGGTGGTCTGCAACTACTAACCACCAGAGCCGGGCGTCTGCCTCCACTCATTCGAGTGCCAGGTCCTGTTCGCAGTGTCAGGTTTACACAGGAGCGAACAAGACTGAGCTCACAGTTTAGTTAGGGAAGATGGAAAATAAGCGAGCAACTCAAATGTCATAAAACCAACCAGGGTGGTGGGGACACAGCCTTTCATCTACTGCATCATTCACTGGGTAATGGCAAAGAACCGGTTCTTCGAGTACCCTGTGACGCTGAAGCCCTCAAAGGCGAACTTTGCATTCTCAGGCTGAACCACTCGGGAGCCCCCAGCCCCGGAGTCGGAAGCACAGAGCCGGAGAAGCGAGGACCAGTCGCGGCAGCGGGGCGCGCGGCCGCCAAGTGTCGCGAGAGCGGGCGGCCCCTCCGCGACGCCGTCGGCGGCGAGCGGCGCGTTC